AACTAAATGGTCATTTTAAATATACAAATTAATAATGTTATCTTTTTCTAAACTGCATAGAACTTCTGGATACAAATATTTGTTTTTCCTCTTTGATGAAGCACTCTGCATTTCACATACTAGAATCTCAAAAGCTTGATGAATTTTTTTAAAAAAATACCTATTAAGCTAATATTGATGAAGCTTACCTCTCCTAAAGGTTTCAATGTTGCAATATTATAAGTTGCTGGGTCACGTTCTACTAAACATGTTTCTGTGAGTGCTAGCAGTCTTTTTACAGGTTCCTTCAAACAAAATTGAGAGATATTAAAAAGTTACTAAAGAAAAATATTAAAATCAGATGAACAAATTTTTTCTTTCAACACACAGGTCTTACCAAATGTCTAGGTGATATTTTTTGGACTACAAACTCTGCTAAAGATGTGATGGCTTCATCAGTGCTGTATTTTCCAAAGCGCAGATTCAAATATTGCTCAAACTCTAAAGGTTCTTTTCTGATCCGCAATGAAATGCCTATGTAATTGCCAGCATGATCTATTGCACTCTTGATAATTTCTTCTCTTTGCTCTGATGCAAATAAATGCTGCACAAATTTTGAAATTTAAAAAGTCAGGGTTGAAATAACTAAAATTTGAATAACATTGAATCAACTCATAAGAGAGAGACTGAAGTAGCAATTCTAAAGGGAAGAAAGGTAGAACATCTTATCAGAAGTGTTGTAAATGAAACATTATTACTAAATTAAAACCACAAAGTTTGGCATATAGTCTTACAAATAATGAGTGGAAATTCTAACTACTCAGAGTGTGATTTTCATCCTATGTGGACAACAGCACTCTGGGGCTTTCAAAAGGATCCCCAGGGACCCCAGGGAAATCCATTGTGGTTGGTGGGCATTAAGTGGACAGGATTTCAGCTTCAACTGAGGTAGTTCTGATTTAATGTTTTCATATAGTGGGCTTTCTTGAAAGAATGTTTACATGCTTACAAGTCACTGGCCTATGTATATTACAAACCAACCTCTAGGAGTGTATTTACAAAGGTCAAGAATAAGGTATTGCTACTTGCATTTGGTGCCTGAGGCTAGGAATGTTAACTATCCTGAAAAGGGTGTGGAGTCCCACTCATGAAAATGGATGGTCCTGCCCTGAATGCCAATAGCTCTCTTGCAGAGAAACAAAGGATCAGATTATGTTCTAAAAATAGATTTTATTCCCAACACCTTATCACAGTCACTATGGATATAGCAGGTACCAGATAAAGATTTGTTGAATGAATCTGTCATACTCTTTTAACTATAGTGAACTATAGAGAATAAATCTGTCATACTCTTTTAGTTAGCCTTTTAAGAGGCAGAGTATGCTTAAAAAGTGGGATGATTAGCCTGTCCGGTGTGGCTCAGTGGTTGAGTGTGAAACTATGAACCAAAAGATCATGGTTCGATTCCCATCAGGAACATGCCTGAGTTGTAGGCTTGATCTCCAGTAGGGGGCATGCAGGAGACAGCTGATCAATAATTCTCTCACATCGTTGATGTTTCTCTCTCTCTCTCTCCCCCCTTATCCCTCTGAATCAATAAAAAATATATTAAATTTTTATAAGTGATTAAAATTAAAAACAACAGACCTAGCTGGTTTGGCTCAGTGGATAGAGTGTTGGCCCTCGGACTGAAGGATTCCGGGTTCAATTCCAGTCAAGAGCATGTAGCGTGGTTGCAAGTTTCCCAGCCCTGGTCAGGGTACGTGTAGAAAGCAACGGAAGCAACTAATCTATGTGTCTCTCTCACATCGATGTTTCTGTCTGTCTCTCCCTCTCCCTTTCACTCTCTCTAAAAATCAATGAAAAAAATATCCTCGGGTGAGGATTAACAAAACAAAACAAAAAAGAACACAACAAAAAACCAATAGTTGCAAATTAATTGAGATTCAAGCTCTTTGGTATAGAAGTCTGAACTCTTAATACCATATTTAATCCCAAAGAAATCAAATAAAGTTTCAAAATAAAGTTGAAAAACCCCATTTTCCTTCAAATGCTCATATTCCTTTTTAAATGACTTTTTAAAAGACAACTTACCAATCTACTAAATCCTCCATAAATTATACAGAACCCTCCTTGATAGTCAGAGAGATCCACAAAGCCCTCAATATTTCTGTAGTCATAGGAACAGAGGACTCTGTTAGTTGCAGGACTGATCTGGTCAATGCCTCCAGGAGTTACTTCCAAAATGACAGGTTTTCTTGTATCACTCCAATGATGCTTATAACAGTTATATCTCTAGAGAAAAATAATATCAATTTTAGGCTCATGTATACACTTACCATAAAATAAGGTTACATTTAATGTACCAGTCACTGCTGGAACAACCAGAAATCTAAACAGTACTCTATTTAGAACTATTATCCAAATTGTTATCAACATTAATTTTAGCTGTTTGGAAGTTTGTGTTTACTTCATTAAGAATGTTCACTCTAGCCCTAGCCGGTTTGGCTCAGTGGATAAACCATCGGCCTGCAAACTGAAGGGTCCCAGGTTCAATTCCAGTCAAGAGCACATGCCCAGGGCGAAACCAGTTTGGCTCAGTGGATAGAGCGTCAGCCTGAGGACTGAAGGGTCCCGGGTTCAATTCCGGTCAAGGGCACGTACCTTGGTTGTGGGCACATCCCCAGTAGGGGTGTGCAAGAGGCAGCTGATCAATGATTCTCTCTCATTGATGTTTCAAACTCTCTATCCCTCTCTCTTCCTCTCTGTAAAAAATCAATAAAAAAATATTAAAAAAAAAAAAAAAAAAAGAGCACATGCCCAGATTTCGGGCTCAATCCCTAGTTGGGATGTGCAGTAGACAGCCAATCAATGATTCTCTCTCATCATTGATGTTTGTATCTCTCTTTCTCTCTCCCTTCCTCTCTGAAATCCATAATATATATATGTGTGTGTGTGTGTGTATATATATGTGTGTGTGTGTGTGTGTGTGTGTGTGTGTATACATATATATATATATATATATTGTTTTTAAGAATGTTCTCTCTAATTTAAGAAAATATGTCCTTATTAAATTAGCAAAGTTTTGGGTTATAATATTTTGTAAAACAATTTTAAGTCACTCTTATGCAAATATACAAAAAGAAAATAAAGGAAATTTTAAATAGAAATGTTATTGTAAAATATTTTATTGAGGAAAAATTTCAACTTTTGTTGATAGATTCTTTTATTTAAGTTAGATATAGAAAAGAGCTAAGTCACATTTTGGAGAAGAGATTGTATTCAATTTAAACAACCTGAGCTAGTTCAGTCTATTAATATAGATTTTCTTTCTACATGCACAGAAAAAGCTGAAGCATCAGTCCAACCTTAAGCTTTTCTAATCATACCAATGGGAAGTTATCTTTGATGTTTGATCTTATTTGCAAGTATAACTCCATTTAGACTATAACATTTTTTCATAAGGTGAAGTACCCAGTATTAGAAATTATCAAAATGGTCAACATCCACTTACTACCCAGTTTAAGTTATTAAAAATAAATGTTTAGTTGAGGCTACTAATCAAAATTTATGATACAGAAAATTTATTTAAAATACAGGCAAAATCAGGCAGAGAATATAAGGATAACAAAATGTTAGATGTGAAATGAGTATCCCCTTGCCCACCCAAAAAGTCCACAGTTTCCTATCTATCAATATGGTCAGTTACATGACTCAAGGCAAAAATAAATTGGTTGCTCAAAAGTACAACTATTTCTAATACTGAAATAAGAGAAATTATCTTGTCGATGTTCAAACGAGAGAGTAAGGCATGCATTATATAATAAACACCTCCACTAACATCCCATCACTAAACTCCATAATGAGGTTCATAGGATATTATCACATCAAGTCCCCTCAGCATTATTGGTTGGTAGTAATCACACACATTATCCAATATAATAAAGCCCAGCAACTGAATAGCAGAACGACCAGAACAACCGGTTGGCCAGTTGCTATGATGTGCACTGACCACCAGGGGGCAGATGCTCAACACAGGAACTGCCCCATAGTGGTCAGTGCACTCCCACAAGGGGAGCACCGCTGGGCTGACCAGGATAAGTAGGCAGGAACCCAGGCTGCGATAGTAGCCTCCTCGCCATAAGGGGCTCTTCCTCACTTTCTGCCGCTTCTTCCAAATGCCTGCAAGCCACCACTGGGCTTGCAGAGCTGACCCCAGAGACTGGGAGGCGGGTTTGTGGCAGTTGAGGGACTGAGGCCTACTCCACTGCCGCTCAGTGCTATTGTCCCTGGGCCCGGCCCTAACCAGGTCCTCTAAAGAGGTGAGTGCTCAGACTCCACGGAAGATGCCGGACCAGGGAGCAGCTTCTCAGAAGGCAGGTCCATAGCTGCTCAGCTGCCCGGGATGAGCAGTGCTCCCACAGCGGGCCGATCCCCACATGCCACCCCTCCCCCCACCAGTGCATGAATCCTATGCACCAGGCCTCTAGTAGTTCCATATGAGGAACTCTGCACGAAGACAAAAGGGCCAGCATTAACCCAAAAATATATTTAGAGCCTTGATTCTGAATGAAAGGTGAAAGTATGCCATACCTCTCCAGGAGTCAGGTGGCAGGGAAGGCACAAAAAAGGTGGCACTTTTCCAATCTATGCTTATTTACATGCCCAAACCCACTCTGCAGGATATTCTCCATTCCTCCCAGCAGATAATTAACTGTCATAATGAGACACTGGAAACACTATTATCCCTCAGGACTGTGAAGGTCAAAAGAGAAATTTAGAAAACCCTGATTTAGAGTATATCTAGGGACGATTTTGAAGGTTTGAGGGCCAAATTCATCTTATGCAAAAGTGTAGTTTGGCCAGCCCAGCATTTGCGAGGAAGAGGAGGTACCACTTATTCCAGATGTAAAGTCAAGTGGACTGTCCCCTTCAGGCACTCTTCTAGAGATATTGTTTCCACCCCAACGTCTTAAAAAGTATCAAGTTGAAGTTGACTGATATAAAAAGCTTATTAAAAAAAAATCAAACTGTAAGTATGCTAAACAGATGAGATATACAGAAAGATTACCTGCTAACATAAAATAATTAAAGAATATCAAATTATAATTTATAGAAATCTGTTATCTCATCAGGGAACAAGAAACAAGCACCTTGCCATTTCCATTAAACTATCTTAATGGTTCTATGGCAACCAGCCAATTGCTTGAGCAGTAAGGCTTCTGGGATGTTAAACCAGTAGATGATGAGGACTTTAAAAAGACAGGGGAATAGCACTGCCAGCATATCAGACTTCAGTTCCTGTCTTTTGCCAGAAGCTGTAGTTCTGAACACTGCCCCCTCCTAACCTCAGTTATAAAAACATATCTTCTCATGAAAAAAAAAAAAAAAATTCACTATTTCAAGGGAGTAAAAAGAGCATAAACATCCATTTCCCTAGCCCAGAAGTTTCGGATTTAGTTTAAATGCTGTCATAACATGACTAGAGAAAATCTGGGGAAAACTAAGAAGATTCTAGCTAATAAGCATGACTTCCTCAAAGCTGTTGGTACATCACAGAAAACTACATTATCAGCCAGATCCAGTGCAAAAATAAATAGTAAGACAACTTTCATATACCCAAACCTTACAATTTCCATGTTCTGAAACTGGAAACTCTCACACCAAAAAAGAACTATTGCATGTTCCAACAGGTACTGTCAGCAGTGTGATGTCATTGTTGCTGTTTAGAATACTAAATCAAGACTAGTTGAATGGTGACAGCACTGTTTGCCCCATAATTCTCTGCCTAAAGATTTTCCCCATCTACCAGCTTTAACAGTCTAACTTAGGGGTGGCGAACTCAATCAGAGAAGGGGCCAAAATCTAAAATCCAGCCTAAATCGCGGGCCGAATGGCTTACTGAACAGTCATAAACTGTCATTGTGATGGAAACACAGCGGAGTGCAGTGATGACAGCGCAGTGCGGGCCACATTGCAAGGCCTGGCGGGACGGATTTGGCCCGTGGGCCTTGTGTTTGACACATGTGGTAACTCCTGATATTTGAGTTTCCAGTTAAACCACATTCATCTTTCTAACATGTACTATCAGGAGACATTAAATCTGTGTTTTCTTTTTTCCCTGTTAGCTTTGCCAGAAAAAGAATATATAGGTCATGGAATGATTTTTACAATAAAGAGCAACATTTGAACACATAAAAAAATCTCACCTAAAAATAGACAAACATGTAAATTGACTGTACCTCCGCTACGCCCACAGTCAAGAGTATGCAAATTAACCCAACAAAAATGGTGGTTAATTTGCATACAGACACTGAGCAACTGGGGGCAGGTGGGACACTTGCCTCGTCCCCATGACGATGATGCAGGTGTCCCACCCCACCCCAGGTCTCTCAGGGCCTCTGGGCAGTGTGGGAAGTTGGGGCCAGAGTGGAAAGAGGTGGCTCCGGGGCAGAGCAGAGTGAAAAGGCGATGCCAGCAGCCAGGGAAAGGAAGGCCCATGCTAGCACGAATCTTCCTGCATTTGGCTTCCAGTATATTAATAAATTTTAAATACTTACCCTTCCTGTAATTTTTCCTTCTGAAAAATCAGTCCTAAATCTCTGAAAGAGAAAATATAACCACAGTTGATAACAGATTGGTTGGGAAGAATCCAGAACAAGTAAAATCACAACTTGGTAATCTTGATATTTAAAAAAGGATATTTAATAGGAAGTGTGTGGAACTTTAATGAAAAACATGAAACAGTAATTAAACATAACTGCTTTGTTCTACATATACACTTAAAAGGCTAAAACCATCGATTATATAGGATTTTCCTCTCTTTCAGATAGAGAAAAGTGACAGTTTCAGTGTGTTAAAGGTCAATAAGAGGACATAAGCATAGTGAGACCAGAAGCTCTGAACATTTAATATCTTACTTTAATATAACTTTCATTTTATAAAGAAGAAAAATCTAGTTTATTAACATGGAACTGTTCTTACCAATGCTTCTGTAAGAAGTTCTGTTCTGTGCTCTGTAGAAAATTTCAAAGTTTCTGACTTTTTTCCACTGCCTTTACGAAATGTGAGGTTGAACTCTGTACCCTGTCCTCTTCCAACAGGACTGATGCCACAAATGTCTCCATAAGGCCACTAACAAAAGAAAGGAAATACTTGGCCTGGTGCTATAATATAGTGTAATAATATAATTATTATTTTCCCTACTTTAATTAGACAATCATAAAATAAGAAAAAATTTACAAAATAATACTGAGGTCTAGAAGAAGCTGTATCTTAGAGTAATTCTATAACAAAAACCTTTAAAAGCTTTCAATCATGAGAGACAATGAAACATCCTATTCATATCCACATTTTAATGATTAATGGCATTAATTCAAACAATCTAAAATAAATACATAGAAGTAACACACACTGGAGAAAATTTTATTACCTGCAAATATGTTAAAAACAAAAAGAGGAATCTGTAAAGCATGCCTAATTTACAATTAACATTAGCTAGAATATATATAAATATGTTTATCCATGTTCAGGTTAGTATTCACTTTACAATTAGTAACCCTGGTTCCATGACAAGTATTTTCCAACCACTACTACCCTTGTGACTATACTTGTGACTTCTGTATGCCTGTATTAATTACACTAACAATAAGGCTTAAAAAATATAAAGAATTTATCAATTTTACATAAGATGGCTAAAATCTATAGATAGTAACATATCAAAAAGATATTATGTTTAGAGCCTAGAAATAAGCACATTCTCTTCCTGCCTCCCTTTCATTAATTTATTTTTGGTCCTGAGCATTGAAATCTCTTTCATATTTGGCATTCCTATCGTCAAGTTTTAATCTGTTTCAAGCCAAGGAGTTAAGGATCATAGCCTAACTTTTAAAATTCAAATGGTATTCAAACACCTAGCAGCTTCTAACATGATTACCTGATTTGTTACTTCTAAAGTATTGGGATTATATGTAGTAATCGCATGGGTTCCAACAGAAAAGACACGCTTATACCTACAAAGAAAAACAAGTACTTAAATTTAGTCTTAAAACAAATATTCTGCAAAAAAATATATATGACATCAACACAAAAGGAACATTTCAATAAATAAACAGAAATATGTCCATTGATTGTGACTAAATATAATGTAGTTTTATATTCTCACATTTTTTAACATCCTACCTAATAAAAGAGTAATATGCAAATTGACCGTCACTCCAACACACAAGATGCCCCCCCCATGTGATCAAAGATGGATGCTCCCATGTGGCCACAAGATGGCAGTCAGGGGAGGACAATTATCAGGGCAGCAGGGGAGGACAGTTGGGGGGAACCAGGCCAGCAGGGGAGAGCAGTTAAGAGAGACCAGGTTGGCAAGGGAGGGCAGTTAGTAGTTACTGGGCCAAAAGGGGAGGGCATTTGGGGGCAAGCAGGACAGCAGGGGAGGGCAGTTGGGGGTGACCAGGCCGGCAGGGAGGGCAGTTGGCAGGGAGGGCAGTTGGGGGTAATCGGGTCAGCAGGGGAGCAATTAGGTGTTGATCAGGCTGGCAGGGGAGTAGTTAGGGTGTGATCAGGCTGACAGGCTGAAGCAGTTAGGCGCAATCAGGCAGGCAGGCAGGCAGGCAGGCAGGTGAGTGGTTGGGAGCCAGCAGTCCTGGATTGTCTAGATTGTGAGAAGGGTGTCCAACAATCCCACCGGTGGGATCAAGCATAGATGGACAGTCGGATGTCACTCGAGGGATCGCAAATTGGAGAGGGTGCAGGATAGGCTGAGAGACAAACCCCACCCCCCACCCGTGCATGAATTTCGTGTACCGGGCTTCTATTTCTAAATGTTATTAGGCCGAAACCGGTCTGGCTCAATAGATGGAGCCTGCGGACTCAAGGGTCCCGGGTTCGATTCTGGTCAAGGGCATGTACCTTGGTTGTGGGCACATCCCCAGTAGGAGGTGTGCAGGAGGCAGCTGATCGATATTTCTCTCTCATCAATGTTTCTTAACTCTCTCTCTTTCTCTCTGTAAAAAATTAATAAAATATTTTTTAATGTTATTAGTATTAAAACTCACCCACCACTCATTTTACTGTGAACTTGTGAGATCCTGAAGTAGGAAAATATGATATATACAAGTAATCTTGTTTTGTTAGCATACATAAAGTTAGCAAAGTACCACCTGATGAGGCCAAAAGATTTAAATGGAAAAACTTTATTAAAAACAAAATAAAACACTGTACACTACTAATTCTTTCAAAATATCCTTTTAACAAAACCATGATATATAGAAAGGAAAAGCCATGACCAGCAACTGGTCAGTCACAGTCATATTCTGGAATCTTAGTAATTTCTATTTAAGCAACTACCTATTACTTTTAATGTTGCAATTTTATAGAAGTTGGAAACATACACCACACACAAGCAATTTTCACTTCTCAATTCACTTCCTTCATTTAAAATAACAAACATCTAAAGTAAAAAAAAAATTTGGATCAGTAATCCTTTAGAAGAGAGGAATCCATAATGATAAAAGTAAAACTGAATTAGAAACCCTTATTTAAAACTGAAGAATTTGTTCTCTGGAAATAAAATAATAGGCAAAACATTAATCTTAAGGGGGAAAAAAACAAAATTCTATATAATAAAGAGGTTATATGCAAATTGACCCTCACGCCCTCACACAAGATGGCCACTCCCATGTGGTCAGAGATGGCTGCCACAGATGGCTGGCAGGGGAGGGTAGTTGTGGGCGATCAGGCCAGCAGGGGAGGGCAGTTGGGGTGGAACTGGGCCTGCAGGGGAGGGCAGTGGGGGAGACTGGGCTTAGAGGGGAGGGCAGTTAATGGGGACCAGGCCTGTAGGGGAGTGCAGTTGGGGGGGTGGGGGGAACCTGGCCTGTAGTGGAGGATGGTTGGGGGCAATTGGGCTGGCAGGGGAGGGCAGTTGGGGGCAACCGGGCCAGCAGGGGAGGATTGTTGGGGGGGGACTGAGCTGGCAGGGAGGGCAATTGGGGGAGGGGGAACAGGCCTATAGGGAGGGCAGTTGGGGGTTACTGGGCCTGCAGGGGAGGGCAGTTGGGGGCAAACAGACCTGCAGAGAAGAGAAATTGGGGGCGAAAAGGCCTGCAGGGGAGGGCAGTTAGAGACGACCAGGCCAGTAGGGGAGGGCAGTTGGGGACAACTGAGCTGGCAGAGTAGGGCAACTGGTGGAGACCAGGCCTGCAGGGGAGGGCAGTTGGGGGCGACTGGGCCAGCAGGGGAGCTGTTAAGCGTCAATTAGGCTGGCAGGGGAGTGATTATGGAGTGATCATGCTGGCAGGCAAAAGGGGTTAGGGACAATCAGGCAGGCAGGAGAGCTGTTGGAAGCCAGGAGTCCTGGATTTTGAGAGGGATTTCCCATATTGGAGAGGCTGGGCTGAGGGACACACATACCACCAACCACGAATTTCATGTACCGGGCCTCAAGTCCTCTTATAATTTGATTAACCTCTCTAAGCTTCACTTTCCCCCATGAAGATGTTGATAATAGGCATTATATGTGTGTATGTGTGTGTTTATCTCTCACAAGGAGATTATAAGAAATAATTCACATAAAGTGCTTGTCGATTATTATTTACAATTGATAAATGTTACCCATTCCTATTGCTATTATTCTGCTGATGGAGTAATAGGGAAAATGGATCAAAACTCCAATACTCTCTGAACTAATTGTAATTAGTATCGTTATCTTTCCAGTAGTTATGACTCATACATTCATTTTTAAACATAAAACAAAAAGACAAATTGGTAATTCCTCTTACTATATTATTGAGATACTCTGATTTTACTCAAATTCCACCCGAAAAATCAGTTTCACTCCCTGAACTCTTAAAATTTACTCTATCTAGCAATTATACAGACTATCTATGAGGGTAGACTATCTATGAGGGTAGTGCGCTCTGCCATTGAATTTCATGGACTGATCACCTACGTGAAGTTAAAATCCTGTTCAGATACTAAAATGCTACTCTTATATTCGGAACCCTGATATGCAAATATAAGTGACAATAGGTAAATTTTACTGGATGTAACTTCCATCCAGAATAAATTTAAAACCCGTATTTTGAACTTCACTCAAGTTTTCCATAGTGAATCTGCACTGCTCCCTCCTATCAGAAATAGCTTGCTTAGGCCAAAAAGGAAACTTTGCTATTTTATGCAAAGAAAAGTGCTTTTTAGCTC